CTATCATATATATATATATATATATATATATATATATGAAATGAAATAACAAAAATTTAATTCAGCATTATTCTACACTTCTAGATATTATTACCAAACACTGCCTTAGAAGTAGTTGACCACTACACTTTATAAATATTTTGTCTCCATTACAACCATAAAATAGCTTGCATGTATACATGGTGTCCAGCAGATGGCAGTCTATGTTGTACAGCAGCTGTTGTTTTTAGGGGCTTTTGTTTGGTTCTCGTGGTCTTTGGAATTTGCAAGATATCATTGCATTCATTATATTCAGTTCTTTAATCCTGATAACTATTTCCATTGCTGATGAGATAATCAAATATCAATAGGTTTTGTTCTGAGGGTTGTTTGAGTAATTATATGGATCCTTAAGGCTTGAGTGCTGAATCATGTTATTTTCTGAGGGAATTAAAAAAATAATACCACTGCCAAGTCTGAAATTGATGCAAGTGACGGAATCGATTCTTACTCAGCAGCTATCTTTGACACATGAATCAGAGCTTTATTCCGAACCCCTCCCTCATTAGGCCCCCATGTCACACTTTCTGGAGCTTGTGATTGGCTTTGAGTGCCAGGGGAGAGGATGAGGGGCTGGGCCAAAGCATCCGGGCTGCCCAAAAAATTTGACCTATCAGGGTACAGCTGTTCCTTGATGACTTAGAGGGACTTGTCTGTCACCTCCCCGGGGGGACATGCGAGTGGAGTGAGTGAGACAGCTTAACTTGGAGGGCAAGGGGACGAAAGTCTGGGCACCGCAGGCACAGAGTTGGAAACCAGTTGGAAATCCTGCAATTGAGTAATCGCCTAAAGGATCCAGCGGTCATTTTTTCCCCCTTAGATCGCGAAGAACTGGGGGACCTGAATCTGAGGGTGAAAAGCTGAGGCCAAATCTTCCAAAAGGCAGCAGGGGTAGCTGCTAATGCAATATGATCCTCTGGGACTCGCTCTAAAAATACCATCCAGCCAGGAGTACATGCGCAAGCTACATTCGCCTAATTGGAGAAAGATTAAACATTTTGTTTTCAGCTTCTCTAATTGGACATCTCAAGGATGTGAGAAACATATTCCAAAACATTTATGATGCAGAAAACTTTTTTTTTGGACATTTCTATGTACCTGAAGGCCTTTCAGAAGGTCTTCTGTTAATGCAGGTAGAGATTTCCACTCTTTTAAGAAATCATTTGATAAGTAAGTATTGCATTTAACTGATGTTGATAACTTAAACCTGGAGTGGAGTCTTACATTTGATAATATCGGCTTGAATGTTTGGAATATGTTTACCATATCAAAACTCCAAATTATGAAAAGCTATTTTATTTTTGGACAATTTATTGTGCATTAGATATACTTATTAATGTAATTTTAAGCTTCAATCAGTTTAGTAACGTGTAGCAGTCCATAAAGAAGCTCTCCACTGGATCATGAGGAAAGCTGAGGTCCAGATGACCCTGAAGAAGGGTGCTAATGAAGAAGCAGGAGGAATGGCACCTCCCAGCCCCAGGATACCATCGAAACGGGCAAAAGTTAGTTCTGATCAGGTCGTACCAGACCCTGCTGCTTCTGTCTACCCTACCCCAACTCCCCCAGTGTTCATCCGGAAGATGAGGAACGCTGCGGTAGGTACTGGCTGTGATATCCGTCTGAAAGTGGCCGTGGCTGGAGACCCACAACCTACCCTCTACTGGTACCACAATGATGACCTGCTCAACATGGATAACCAGGAATATGGAGGCCTGTGGATCAGGGACTGCAAACCCAGTGATGCTGGCCTCTATACCTGCATCGCCACCAACAATCTTGGAGAGGCCAGAAGCAGTGCTGTCCTAGCTGTTTTGGATTTGGGTGAAGGTAACTACGAATGTAGTTTTAAATGTAAATGTAACACTGTTTCATTTTGAGAAATCAATGGCTTTTTCATACTACCTGCATCCTTGTAGAAATGACTGGAACATAAGATCCCCAACATAAGAACATTGTGCCCTATTATCAAGCTTATGTGGGTAATTATCGAGTTTAGGCTTCAGAGAAAAAGGTGGAAGGCAGAAGTTCTTGCGCACCAAAACATGATATGTGATAATTTGCTAAAGGAGTAACACATCCCTCTGATGTGTCTCACAAAATGGTGGCTAATCCAGTTAGAGAAAATTAAGTGACGTAGCCGTCCCTCCTTCTTCAGTCACTTCGTTTGGTTGGGGTTACATTGTGGCATTTACCTCAAGGACCTGCTTGGTGGCCGAGGGTGGAATGATGGGGGCAGCTGATGGGCTGAGACAAACTGCTCACCCGTCCCAAAGTAGAGCTGCGAAATTAACCCCCCCCCAAGTCATGGTGCTTCATCTTCTCCTCTGACGGTTTTGAATAAGCACTTTGCCTTCTTACCGAACTGAGAATAAAGAGGTTTCATATGCTCTTTGCAATTACCTTTGGGCAGAAATGTAGTGGAGATTGTTTGCTTTTACAGTCTAAAATGTCTCTCAGTAGTAATGTATAAAAACCCTCTGAGAAACACTGTCTTTACAAGGAATGTGTGAACAACAGGGCTGGGCAATATGGCTAAAAAAAGTTATTGCTATATTTTTCAACCTTGCTACAGTATTTACTATTTTGATGTCTGTGTTTTTGATTTAAAATGGAAAGCTTGATTCATATCCAAGTGATTTTTGGATATAAATAAAACTCACACCAGAGACAATTTTTTAAATTAGAGACAATATTACAACATTGGCCGAGAGTATTGTTGATGTAAGACTGATGTTGTAAATGTAATATTGTCTCCAATTTAAACTTAAATAAATTGGTGATTTTTGTTTATTTACAATAATCAGTCAAGGAGGGATTGTGAAGAAAACCTGCAAAAGGTACAACAATTAGAATATTTGTAATTATGCTTATTTTGATCTAACCAACAAAATCATCACAAATATATCTTGAATTTTCAGTAAATCACTTAACCCTAGAAAATCATAGTGAATTGTATCTTCATACTTTAGTTGTAATTTTGTCAGAAAGGAATGTGTGATAAATTATTTGAGCTTTTCAGAAGTAATTCATTGGTTTTGGATCAGTGCTGTGATGAGAGGTGATGGTGTCCAGCTTCAGATGTGTTTAGATGGATCGGCCTTGTCTCCTTGTTGTCCTTCACAGAGCTGAACTGGCCACGTCAGAGCACATCATTCTGACAGTGTTATGATTTCACTGATGCCACTAACATTCATCGCCAAACTGTCTGCAATACAGGCACCTTTTATGACTTGTTTTCATATTTGCACTCCATCAACAGAAATAGTGTATGTGTTTTATGTAGCCACATCAAACTTTCACCTCTACTGTACTTGCAGCATTCTCTTGAATCTCGGTGTATGGTTTTTATTGCACTCCATGTTAATGATTGACATTTAATGATCTTTTGGGCTTCAGTTTTTTAAGGGTTTGTTACATCTCCCTGGACTCTAGTTTAGTTTTTGTAGTGCCAGAACTTTATAGGGTCTCTGGACCCCTGGAGGTCCCTGAGTGTACTCCAGGGGGATCTGTGGAGAAGATATTTTGTATAAGACATACAAAACGTACATTTTTGCTACTTTTCTTTGTAGTTGTTTTTTGTTCGTTTTTTTTAATGGCTTGGGTGAGAATCTGAGCATGTAAAGGTTGAAAACGGTTCAGGAAAGTGGTTGTTCTCAGTAGGTCTGTTCTTATCTGATGGAGACACAAACTAATAAAAGATAACCATATTATTGTGGATAGTTATGGTAGCAAAATAAATAACTGTGTTTTAGTGCATTTATAATATAATATTTTTTCCTAATAACAAGCCTATGTCATGCTAATTTATTTGGTTGACTGTAGGCTGTTCATAGTAATATTAACTAAATATTATTTATTTTTCAATTTGATTTTTAGTGCAGTTTTCCTAACATTTTTGTATGCCAAACAATTTCTATGTCCAGTTAATAAATCTGGGTCCTGAATTGTATCTAGAGTACGACATCTGTAGTCATGATGCATGTGTCAATCCTCTGGACAAGTTGTGGAGTTTACACCTGTCTTGTCACTCAGCTAAATGCCATATGTCTTTCTCTTTTGCTTTTCCTTCACAATGTCTTTTTTTCTGCCTTCTACCCACTGTTATCCTCCCTTTCCTTTCCTTTCCTTTCCTTTCCTTTCAAACTTTCTGGAGTCTGTATTGTTTTGTTTTACTATTTTGTCATTCTGACCATTCCCATTCTATGTATCTGTGTCTTTCTGTTTTTATTTCTGCCTTTCTTACACTTTTCCACTTCCTTGTCTTTCAATGTCTCTCCTGTCTTCTTGGCCTGAAGGACCATCTATACCCCTCTGGTTATTTCTGACAGTGGAATGTGCCAGGCTTCAGATTTTTGTGATGTTAATAGGCCACACACTCTCCGGTTACACAGGAAGACATCACAGCTATATATAGGCCTTCAGCACAGGAGTTTTGCCTAGACCTTATTCAATTAGAGTCAGTTTGAATGAGGGGGAGAGTAATGTTTTTGCCTGGTTTACAATTGTAAAATACTGTCATTAAATGAATGGTAAAAATAGCCGGCTTTGAAGGTGCTCTCTGAGAATCATTACTGATTTAGATTATGAGGCAAGAGACTAGGCTGACTTTGGATGGTGACCATCATGTTTATACATAGTAAACAAGTATTTCGCAGTGGGTTGCACTAATAAGAACTAAGATTTATGATATATTTATTAATTGTTTGTACTTCAACCATCATTAAACCTAGGGTAACTTTAATACTGTGCACCCATTAATATAAACTCTGAATTACATTTCAGTTAGAGCTGTAGTTCTATGCCTTGGATCTTGGTAACCGGTACATTAGTAGTGTAGTTTTTCCCTTTACCTGCACAGGTTACTTATTGCAGAGGCTGTTTCTAATGTCACTGAAAAAGGAAGTTAACAGTTAACAATACTGCCATTTTTGGCGAATCAGTCGTGGCAGGGAATCAAATTTAATCACAGGTTGAAGGTTTAATGACTGATTTGTTAAGCCCTGTTCAAAATTAAGTGGTACAACAAGGCTTGAATTAAAATAAAACCCTAGATAAACAAACCCTTTTGCGGTTTAAGTTGTAATTGGTGCAACCCACCCTTAGCCTTTAAATCGGTAAACATGCAACAGCAATGTATATTTCTGGTCTGCTTCAGCTGACACTCAAACTGCAAGAGCTTATATTCATCCTCTGAATAGTTATGTCGCAAAGTGCTTGCTGTCTCTATCTCTTCAGGGAACATTTCACCTATAATTGCTCAGTGCATTACGGAGTGGTTTTTCAAATATGGATGTTTCAAACTGCTGGGGTGGAAGAACCAGTATGGAAATGATGTACAGAGAGAAAAGTACATCTGAATGTAGAGTGAAACATCAAAATCTACAGCTTTATCATCTTGTTGAAAAAAGTTTCTAACAGCCTTTATTTTCTTTTTACTTGGAGTCTTTACTGTTTGTTTTTATTTGAAAAGTAGCTTTCTTTCAAGCGCTTCTCAAAGTCATTAGCTTAAAAATTATAGTTGAAATTCTTATAATGACTGTATATGAGATGGATTGCTCTATTTGCTGTTAAAATGGTGGTATTGCTCTTAAAATTGTTTGCATTTGGGGGGAACGGTTGAGCAGTAAGATGTGGGTTTTGGCTTCAGCCCACACACTTAGCAATAATTGCTCTGAAAGCAGATAACTTTCCATTGGCCCCAGAGGTCAAAATGTCCACACAAACGCTCAGTGGAGTGTGTAATGAAAGGTCTCAAACATCATTTATATTTGAAACCAAATAGAAATTATAATCCCTGATAAATTGCTTGGATTTCAAATGATTTCTCTTGTTTGGCTAATAGACCCTCACAGAGTGACAAAGTTATTAATTTGTCATCAGCGAGTATGACTCATGGAAAATTACTAGGGCGGTTGAATATGGTTTTGTTCTTTTGTGGTAGGTGAAATGCAATTTCACCATTTGCAAAGCGGATGATGGAGGGGAAGTAATAACAGTCCACGCTAGTTGATTTTATATAAAAGTGCATCTACGCACAATCACACTCAAAATCATATATGCACACACACACACACACACACATGCTGAGGTACATTTTGTCACTCACAGCACAGCTGTGCCTCCCTCAGTCATTCATTTTCTGCCTATATCACCAACTTTTCTTTATCCAGCTGAGAGGTTGTGTTGTTGCATTGCTCGTAGGTGGATATGAATCAATACTGGATGCAAAAAGACTTGTTCAGTGCATTAGAATAAACTGAGTTAATATGCATTAATTCAGTTTTGTGTAGTGATTCTGATGAGTTGAAGCATCGTTCTGGCTGCACTGAAACGCTATTGCTTTTCCAATCTGCTATTGGCGACATTCTGCTTTGCTAGAAAGCCCATTTCCTCTGCACTTTGAGACAGTTATCCTTTCTTTTTGAACTGCATTTGCATCAACACTTAACGATGATCCACTGATTTTAATTTTCTTAAAAGCATCTTGTTTACTTTGTGCTTAGGTTCTCATTGTCCTTTAGTGAGTGGGTGGTTTTAACCAACCACTAGTGTTGCACTTTTAATGTGCGTCACAGCTGATGCTTTCGGTTGCTCTAATCTCCACTTAAAGTTGTATACAAACACTTAAAGGAATGGTTCATCCATTTAAATTGTCGTTATTTAATCTTTTTACTGTTTTTAAACTCTTTTGAACACTATGAACTAATGCTGTATAAAAAAAAATCTCATTTGTTTGTTCCATTGAGAAAAAAATAATAGTAAACAGATGTGCAATGGCATGAGGTTGAATAGTGACACAAATTTCACTTTTGAGTGGACTATCTGTA